AAAAATAAAATAAGAATATTAGAGGTTGGTTACACATTGATTAGGATTTGGGCTTAGGTTTTTTTATGTTAGTGGTCTCATGTGCTGCCTTTCATTTTGTTGTTGGGCGTTTTTGTTCTCTTTGAGTAGCCATCAAGTTTTTCGAGTGGTTTTTTCGTGTAATTGTATAAGTTTTAGAGTGATTTAAGGGTTTTTGGTCAATCAAAGATTCAATAAAAACACTTTTCTATAAACAAATTCAAAGTTTGATTAAACTACAAGTAAGTTCCAAATAATTCTCTTACGCTTGAGTCATCAAGCCTTAATATTTCAAATCATGAAATAGAGTAATACAAATTAAAATATCTTAACCTCAATCTTAAAGAAATGTATACTTTTCAAGTAAAATCCGATATTTATAAAAATATTATAAGTCTGCGTTTTCTTATTTCTTTTGATTTACATATTATGTAAAATTATTATTTATTGTAAATCTTTTGATTATTTTTTAAATTCAACGTATTTGTTTTAAAAAATTTTAATCCTTAGATCTTTTTCATCTTTAATCTCTTCAACAAAAATTGACTAGCTCTGTCTCTTATTGCTATATTGCAATATGCAAGTTTAACTTATACATGTAATTTCATTTTTTAAAAGAAAATTAATTTAACCTACTTTTTATGTACCAGCTAATCGAAGGCGGAGGGAGGGGCTACTAGGGGCCTCGTCGCCTTAAATATTAAAATTTTCATTTTCGCTTCTTTAAATTTAAAATCTTAACTTCATCTTTATAACTAATCATTTATATACAAACATATATATTATCATTCCCAAAGGTAGAGGAAGGGAGGCTAGTAGGGGCTCTCGCCTTTCTAAAAATTTTAAATTTTTATATTTCTTTTTAATTTATTTAAATTATATATATATTAAAATTTTATAATTTATCTCTACAAATATTAAACTTTTTGTTTTCACCTCGAATATGAAATTTCGATTCCGCCACTGATCATACCTTGAGGGACTTCATATATTGTTGATAAGGATTATCGTCACTGTTTAACCTTAGATAAACCTAATGTGCTTACAGTACCTATTGTGGAAAATCTCCCATTCCCCTTTCTAGGCTTCCATTTACTTGAAAATCTTTTCAAAAATTGTGGGATGACTAAGTTCACAGAGCCAACTCTAGAAGTTACCTTGTCTCAACTTTCAATGCTTTAAAAGAGTATAATGCACTGTAAATCCTTAACCTTCTACTACAATTTCATTTCAGTCTACATCTTTTAACTGAGCACTTTAACTTTGTTCAAATGTTTAAGGATACATTTATCCTTTCGTTAAAAGATTAAAATTAGTTGGAGTCATGATACTATTTTCATGATCATACAAAAGCAATCAAATTCTACAGTCATTCAACAAGTTATGGCTCTGTTCATGCACAGAGGAATGAACTGGCTTGGTTTTGTTTTATTTTATTTTTTTGTCCTGTTGGTTCCACCCAGTTGATAATTCCCTTACTCTCTCTCTCTCTCCTTTAAATCTCAAATGGGGTAGCCCCATTTTAATTTTCAACTCATGTTGGTGCATTCAAACTTCAAAGACAGTATACAATAAATATTTTTTTTCTTTCATGGTGGGTCAGTTTGACTGCATTGATAGATATGGGGAAAAGAGGAGGGAAAGTTGGGGGGGACCATCTCCCCCAATTATTCTATATTACTTGTTTCAATCCCATGTACTCTTTCTTTCACTAGGATAAGGCCTGTTTTGGCCCTCCCTTACTGTTTTTATCTTATTGTTCTCTTCTCATCCCTCCAACTAAGCTTTGCACTTTTGCTCTTTCTCCATCTCCTTCTCTCTCTCTGCCTCTCTTTATCACTGTGAACTGCAGACTTATTCCAGGACTCTCTCTTCCTCTTCCATCTGCAGCTATTGCCTGTTAGGACTGGAAGTCCTTAAGCTTTCCAGTCATCTTTTCGTCATTTTATTATTACTTAGTTTTTCTTTTTTCTCTGTCTTTATAATTGTATATTCACTATATGTGCTTTCCATGCTAGTGAATATTGATAGCTCAGTTTCACTTTTCGAAGTCTCGTGTCATTTCTGCACTTTTGGCTCTAGAATCTGATTTCAGAAAAGCTACCTTTCACAGTATCTTTGTAGTAGGAGTTTTTTTTTTTCATGAAAACAAAATTCCAAGTGCCTTCTGGTATTTGTCTTTTAATACCCTCCATCTTGCATTGTGCAAGGAAATAAATTCTCTCACCATTACTGTAAATTCTTTATTCCATAACATCGTCAGCATCCACTTCTGAAAATTCTCAATTGAACAAACACTATTAATTCATTTTTCATTTTTCCTTTGAACATTCTTGTTGAAGCTTTTTGGTTTTTGTTTTTCGATGAAAGAAGCTCAAATGAGCATTCCATACTTGTTTACATGCCCAATCAGCCTGGACTTGTTCACAGATCCCGTTACTCTATGTACAGGCCAAACTTATGATAGATCAAGCATAGAAAAGTGGTTAGCTGCAGGTAATCTCACATGTCCTGTTACAATGCAAAAGCTCCATGATCCATCTCTTGTTCCAAATCACAATCTTCGTCATTTGATTGAACAATGGCGTCAAATGGGACACCAATTTGACCCTGATTGCTTGACAACAATAGATCCTTTAGTCTCCCTGAAGCGCAATCTCGAATCTCCCGAAGCTACCTTACAAGACAAACTTCAAACACTCGAGAACATCCGACTTCTAACGGAAGAAACACCATCTAGCAATTCCTTTTTGCTCCGAATAGGTTTCTTGCCTTTACTTTTGCAACTACTTTTCGAAAAAGTAGACCCTGAATTCTCCCAAGAGTATGTGAGGTTTGTGGAGCTAGGGCTCTCTTGTGTTCTTAGATTGCTGCCCTTTGGAGAATTAGTGTGTTTGAATATGCTTAAAGAAGAGTCCATGTTGGAATCTTTTGTGGTTTTGTTTGAGCATGGCACTGGCATGATCAAGCAAAGCTTGTGTCATCTTGTAGGGGAAATATCATCATCTTCAGAAACGAGGGAGCTTTGTGCAATGATTGGAAAACACCAAAGGTTCTTGCATAGGATTGTTTCTCTTATTCAGCAGAATTCTGAGACATCTGATGCTGGAATCAAAGCGATTTCAGCATTGTGTTGCTTGGAATCCAACAGAGAAAACTTGGTTGGACAAGGCCTTATCAATGGTCTGACAGCATATATTCTGAACTCAGAAAGAAAGGAAAGAAGCTTGGCAGCAACAGCCATGGCAAGACTGGAACAACTTCTGCGAATAGAGAGAGCAAAAGAGGCACTGATAAACAATCCGCCCGGTGTTAAAGCAGTGGTTAACATGGTCTTCAGGGTATCGGATCATGAAGGGAGTGAAAGTGCTGTTAACTCATTAATGATGGTGTGTCATGAATCATTGCAAGCGAGGGAAAAAGCAATAGCAGCTGGAGTATTGACGCAGTTGCTGTTGCTTCTGCAGAGCCAGTGTAGTGGTAGGACCAAAACGAAGGCAATGACATTGCTGAAGCTGCTAAGATCCAAGTGGGCCGAGGAGAAATAGCATGTGTTTTGAGGACAAATAATATCTGTGTGTGGGGTCTTAACTCTTATATGCTGTGTGGTGTACGGGGTTCCCTCTTCCCCCTCTCGAGTTAGGTTTTTGTACAGAAATGTCAATTTATGTAAGCTCCTCAATCATTGAAAACCCATCCATTTAATTAACCTTCATCCACCTTGTGTAGTGCATTAGCTGCAAATTAAACTGTGAAAGGATCTAGGGACTCAATTCCTGGAACAAGAGATACATGTTTCAGTTGGCAAATACCAAAATACTCCTAGGATTATTATCTTTTATCTCAGTAGTTGATCGTTTTCAAAAGATTAAGGTGGAGTTAGGCTATATTGATGCCTTCTGAAGTGGCATTGTCAGCTTACCCAACCTGATGTAATGTCTAAAGATATATGAAAGTGGAAGGCAGTCAAAGTAGCCCGAAGCAGGTAAGATCTCAGCAAATGGATGCAAACTCAATTCCCACAATTATTTTCTTCTCCATTATCTATACATACTTAATATGATCTCTGGGTATTTTTATAGAAAGAAGTCACTGTACTCCCTTTCATAATCAACCTCCAATTTTTTTTTTTGCATAAATTTTATAAAATATTGAATGAGAAAATTAGGTGGTATCGTTTAATAATCAAATTAGATTATTTTATTAAGAATCCAATTATTTGATGATAGGTCGGCTAAATTTGATTTTCATTTCGGCATAATATATTAAATTTTTTTAATTATTTAAAAATATTCAAATAAATTTTTATTTTTTTATTTCGTTTAATTAAAATATTATATTTTTATCTTAAATTAAATAAATTTATATAATTAATAATTAATTATTTATTTTTAATTAAAATGACATTTATCATTTTATAGGCATATGAACTTACCATAATGGAAAATGAAATTACCATGTAGCCTTTTCATCATATCAACATTTGAAAGCACCAAATGGAATGAAAAAGCTTATTTAGTTTATAACAAAAATAAAAAATTTTAATTAAATATAATAAAAAATCAAAACTTAATTAATTTTTTCTGAATTCAAAAACCCAATTACTCTTTTTAAGTAGAAATTTATACATCTATCAATAAGCTAAATACTTAAATATAATAAAATAATTCAAGTTGATTAGTTTAGTTTTCATTATGAAATCTGATTAATCAGACCGGTATTATACCAAAAAACACCATCATATATAAAAAACTTGGCAGCTTAAACATCTGCTACTATTCTTAAAATATTTCTTAATTAGGGAGATGGAAAAGATTTTGTTTTTAATCCAATTATTATGGCAAAAATTGATGCTAAAAATTGTTAGCCTTCATCTGGGTTCACGATTCAAAGTTTGAATACCCTTTTCCCCATTTTTCAACTTTCTTCTAGGTTGAAATAAAAAATTCTACCATCCTATCCTACCAAGCAAGGCCTTGGTCCAAACGACAAGACACTGTTTACCTTAGACCCACCAAGAATCCTGATAGAAGGAAGTTTCCACTTGGCTATCATGGCCACCAATTTTTGTGAATAAATCCAGAGAGGCAACAGCAACTCCCATCCAATTGATGCAAGTTGATGGGACTCTTAAGCTTGGTAGATTCATTCTTTTTCTTTATAAGCTTTCATTGAAACAGATATACCAGGCTGATTTGTCTGCACATTGTTTTTTATTTGAGTACAGTTTGGAAGCACGTCTCTGGCACTCCAAAGGCAACCAGGTTAGAAAAGAAGAAGTGTGTAACTTTGGAAAGAAAAGGACCCACGAAAGGACCTTAAGAGTCAAAAATCAATTTTGGGGCTGGTGGGGATAGGGGTTGTTTAGCTTTAATAAATAAAAGTGCAAATGTAATCAAACACTTCACCATTGACAATGAACATGGTCCACCTTTTCGGCTATTGAATGAACCAAACAAGAGATTGAAGCACTTCCCCTTTCGCCCAAAAACGAGCTGACAGATTAACAAAGTTGCACCCCACCCTGCCTGTGCTAAATGACCGAATAAACCTACTTTTTGGACAAGGGTCAAAAGTTGGGTGCCTGAAATTTCAAGCATTGATAACAGCACCACTGCTTATTATGCTGAAGAACCAAGGATACCCTACTTATTGAGCACCACCTGGAAGATGTCTCCCACAAGAAAAGTTAAGGAGAGAAATTTGTTTAAGAATAAAAGTACATGGGGGTGGGGCAATGCAATTTCATGATAATCATATT